AATGCAGTAAACGCGATAAAATCAGTTAAAGTTCGTTTGTGGATGTTAATTTTGTGGTATACGTTCTTGTAACGAGTATGCATAATGTAATAATGTTTACGTAATAATTGTAAGAGCATTAATTAGTATTCAAACCACACTATAATTATGTTTGCGTTTTGAGTTTATTGTACACTCCATACAACGACGATCAATAAAGAATCACCATTACAAAATATACATGTAATCACACTAATACATTAGCAAGTTTTCCAAATTCGATTTGACTATTCACTGAACACAATTTACGACCCGTCCTCAATACAAGAGGAAGCTACACTTAATTCACACGAAGATACATTCAAATTAACATAATAATACAGCTATAATTTGTTTTATGAAAAGACTGTAAAAAATAAAACTTAGTTTCAATAAATCTGTCAAATGCTCGGTGATAATGACGGCTCAGAATTTGTGTTCCAACGGTTCTTTCTTATTTGTTAGCGTTGGTGATACTTAGTAATCTTCTTATTGAGTCATAGTAGGTATAGGTAATAATGACCTACATCATTGATACCAGCTATTAAAGTCTGGGAGTGGAGTTCTAGTTTGTGAAAATTTGAATATCAGTTTAGATTTGAATTGGATGAAGAAATGGCTATCAGAACAATCTCACTAGTCTTTAGCTAACTCAGCTGCAGTCGGATCACGACTTTTTAAAATCCACAAAATATCAAGAGTCTCATTAGTTTCGATTTTGATTTATGTTTATAAAAACACAATCTGAGATAATAATTGTAATATTATGCAAATGATCCTAAGAAAACTGTTTATGTCACAGAGAAAATTCACATTTCCTGCAGAGAGATTTTCTATGTCAAGAGAAAGTCTTCTTGGAAAATCTGCTACGGGTTATATAACTGGTGTACTGGTACTCGAATATAACAATAAGCTCCTAATGAGTGTAAAATTACACGCTCTCGGGGTTCCCCAGGAGGACGAAACCAAAATTTTTCATTAGCTTAAATTCCTTAATTCTTCGCATCAACATTTAACCGAAGAATCCACACAGCGTGCTGATGTTTAGGCAACAAAAGATGAAAAGGTGCTATAAAATTTCACCATTTTCCCCTTTTGTATGTGGCAATTAGGCTAATGAAGTGGCTTCAACGAGCGCGAATGAATGGCTCCACCCGAGTTCCTGGCATTCAAAGCTCACCTTTCATGTGGGCAATTTACTGATGGTCTACATTATATGGCTTACTTGAATTACTTGTGGGATCCTCTAGTTGCGAATATGGATTCAGATATTGGATTACTGAATTAGATCGGAATTATGAAGTAATAGAAAGTGGCTTATTGAATAGAAGATAAAGCTATAAAACGTCTTACATTAACTTAATTATGTATTAATAAGTATTAAATCTTGTAAACGTAAAGCTACAGAAATTATAAAATAGCATTGAATGAAAGATCATATAATTAAAACCATACTTAATTTTAGGCCAATATTTGTAGCAGTTAGAGATCAACACAAGTGTTGCAACATTTCAACAACAGATTTACGAAAGCCATAGTTATTGCTGAATGTAGCACAATATTGCGCAGTGTAGTCAAGTGTAGGAGCAATTGTGTGGAGAAAAGAGATGCTCTAAATCACTTTCAGTATGCGCAGTTTATACAACATACAAATATTTGGTGCAGCACACTACACAATATGTCTTCAAAATGGAACAATCGAGTGTATTATTAAGTCGAAAGGAATTTGCTACTTACCATCATAAAAGAAAATAAAAACGATCCCATTTTTAAAACATTTATCAGACTATTTCCGACGTCCAAAAATATAACCTCCAGAACTGAACACAATAGATTGATCATCCCAATAAATAACGATCAATCCACGCGACGCTAAACAAAAACAATTTACAAAGTCAAGATGGCGGATTTATTTGGCGCGAAAGCGTTCGCGAAGAAGCCGCCGTACAAAACCAAAATGGTATTACCCCCAGGCTATTTATCAAAACGTACGATAAACAGAAATGGGAAATTGAAACAGAGTCAACGGGGACCAGTGGAAATGATTTATTGCCATTATAAACAAAATATGGACTGATCATTTTCCATTCCGAGATTGAATTTAGACCTCCGAGGGCGAGGTGTGTGTTAAATGTGCCTAATGCCGTGTTTAATGGCGTATCGCTTTCGAGTGATTTGTTTGATTATATCACATTCATGTTTCGAGTTGGTAGTCTACAACATATCCTCTACAAAAACAACGTCGACAACCAAAAAACGATCATCTGAGAAAATTGTACATGAGAGTATAAAAATTCGCATTCGTTTGATAAACTTAGACCCAGTGTAAAACCACTTGGCGAAGGTAAGCTGTTAGTAAAAGAAAAAGTCCGTACAATAGCAATAAACGCGCATGCAGAGGTATTAAAACTAAATAATACTCTGGAATTGGAATGGAAGAGCCGAAACTGAATATTCCAAATGCCGAGCGCTGGGAATTTCTCCAGAATACCTGGGTTAGCATCCATTAAATATTGCTCCTCTATAATATGAACTTTTTGTTTCGAAGCACGCTTAGTAGACGTGGCAATCTTCTGTTTAAATTTGAATTAACTTCTATTGTTTATAAGAGTGCAATTTGTATGTAAGTTCATTTTGCTCCTCAATTACTTTTGTAAAGAAAATATCATCATTGTTGGAAGAGAGCCTGTCATAATAATTCTGATTATGAATTGTAAATATTCTGATTGCAGATTTCTTATTGGTCAAATATATATTTGTGTGTGTTTTCAGATTAGAAATTCTAATTGGATTGGAGCTTAGTTTTAATCAAAACATAATGCAAAATATCAATTAAAAAAATCTCAGTAGTAGCACGGAGTCTGGAATTGTACCCGGTATATGGCAATAGGCTCACCCCCTATTACATGGGATCCATCACATAAATAGTGAAAAGTGGGTGTTACATTGTACAGTGGCATAATGTGCACCTCTGCCTACACGTTCGGGGATAAAAGGCGTGAATGTTATGTTATGTTCATAATGCAATCCTCTTATTACCATTTCCACAAAAACCTGCAATGTTTATTTAAGTTGTGTTAGTTTCATCCAAAATTTAATTTCCGTTTCGTTAGTGAGCCAGTTACCTCATGTTTTCCTTAGTTCCTTAGTTAGAGTTTATCGTTCTCTAGTTGCCATTGTATGTAGTTCTGTGAGAATTAATTTGCAGTAGGAACAGAACACACATTGAAATTATTACTCGTTGCCCGCTTATGAATGGTTTGCCTAGCGTTGCATTTGCTGTCTGTCTGTCAACATAGCGCTGTAAACTTTAGCAGGTACTAAGTTTGATATTAAATGTGAATAGTGGTTAAACCGTTATGCTACACTGAAGTATTTTGGTGGTTTTATAACATGAAAATTTTAATTGGAGAGTTTAATATGATTTCATGTTTTACTGACAGTGATGGGGAAACTGCCTCGTTGGCTGAGTGGTCTCCAAGTGGTCTCGGTTTCGATCCCTGGTGGGGCAAAGTATTACTGGGCTTTTTCAAAAAATCTCAGTAGTAGCACGGAGTCTGGAATTGTGCTCGGTATATGGCAATAGGCTCACCCCCTATTACATGGGACTCATAACATAAAAATAGTAAAAAGTGGGCGTTACGTTGTACAATATATGTACATCTCTGCCTACCCCTTCGGGGATAAAAGGCGTGATGTTATGTTATGTTATGATGGGGAGTCTTTTCCCGAAAAGGCAACATTAGTTAAACCCCAAGCTTAAAATAAACATACATTACATCATTTTTTTCCAAATTAGAATCTCAAGTTCGTGCCTCTCTTTTAGTGCATCATATAACTCGACATTTTTGTCTAACTTTCAACCATCTTCGTGGATCTGGATCATAAAAACTTCTAAAACAGTTAAGAACAATCCTAGCTCACCCAATTAAGTCGACAACGTTATCATATAAAATGTTACCTCAACTTTTTCGTAAGAACACCATAAAAATTTACTCCCTCGACTATATTTAGACGATATGATACGGCCCAGATGGTCACGCCACCCGATTTTAGTATCTCTCGAATCTTTTTAACGTGACCATTTAATACTGGCCGTTACCTCATCTAGCTTCTACCTTTATGTTGATTAGAAATTGTAAAGCCGCGGGAGGTGAGGCAGGTCAACGTAATATGGAAGGTCGCTGTAACAGCCGATAGCAGACTATGGAACGAGGAGAGTAACATTTCATAGTTATGACTGAACGGAAAGGAAGTGTATATTTAGTATGGCATCTGGTTCTGGAGCATTTCATAGAAATAGTATTAATTAACATGTCCCATGGCGGATAGTTTCATAATTTTTAATTCCCGTGACACAGGATCGTAAAGTTTGGCTGCAAATGTTCAAGTCTCTCAGTTGTCGCGGCTATTCGTGGCTTCGATGTTATGAGATGAGATATGATGCCGATTAACGTAAAAAAATGTTTAGTGGGATACGGAAACGTTATGAAAAATGGGATTATTAGCTGTTGAACGTGAACGCTCTGGTTATAAAAATAATATTATACGCTGTTATAGTTACGAAACTTAAACAAATGGTTTATTTCGTTTGTGGTTTGAATTACAAATATCAGTCACTTGATTCAACGTGTCATTAAATATTATCGGTTTAATATTTTAGAGTTATGGTTTATTTTATGTCATCTGGTCTTTAATGTCCTTTTTGTATGATGATAAAATGGACTAAAGTGTTCATAAAATTAATTTAACATGGCGTTACTGCAAGAGATTTAATGTACCGTGGTGCGTAGTTTCAAATGGACATCAAAAGCCATTTGTATTATGACGTATGAATGTAATTTGTTACCTACGTATATTAACTCAAGAAATTTGTATGATACAGAATTGATGTACTGTAAAAATCTTATTCAGATATTCAGAGATCTTATACATCAAAGATAAAAAAAAAAAATAATAATAAATAACTTTGTACTACTCACCACCATGAACTCCGCAGTAGTCACCAACGCAGTCAGCATGTTGAGCATGAGCTCCTGAGCATGGAGTGTCTCCAGTACAGGCTCGTCTCCTTGTCTGTCTGCAGTCAGCTCCACACACTGACCATTCCGACCAGCTGCCCCATCGACCAGGTAACGCTGAGAGAGAAAACAAGCTGTTAGGTGAATTGTTCTTTGTTTTTATTAAGTTAGAGTTAATATTTAATTGTAGGCTTATCTGATACTGTTGAAATGTCAGTGTTATAAATAGAGTGACTACTGTCTGGATGAGCCTAAAATGGTGTGAGCTACATATTTAAGGATTTGGTGGTGGATCATTGATGGACTCAACCGTAAGTGGACTGATGACTAATAGACTATCCATACAAAGTCCTACTACCTCCTACTAATTTTGAGGCTTCTTATTTATTTGTATACTTTTTCGCGTGCAAAATAACGACATTTGTAATAAAGACTACTGCAGGATATTATGTAAATTTGTCAAAAAAAATGTATAATAATATATAGGAAGCGCTATAAACACAAGTCTTCAAATGTATGTAACGTCCGAAATCAAAACCCCAATTGCTTTTAAATCGCCGTTCACTCACATTTATGCGACTTTAAAATGTATTGCGAGGACATAAAGTCTTTTTATGATCGCCCTTTAGTTTCGTAGACAGTCATATACGTAGACGTACAAACAAAATGTTCTTAAAATGAAGGGAACAAAAACTGAACGATGTCAGAGATCAGGGATCAGTTTTTGCAGATACGACATGGATGCCATCATCATTTATCATAATGCAGACTGTAATGTTTTTATGTCAAACATATGGTGTGATGTGATGGGTGATGGGTGCAAATAATTTGAGTTCCAAGTTTTCAGAAATGGTATTGGTATGTCTGGTATTCTAGTTGGTTAGCTGTTTTTTTTTGGACAACCTTTTTACAGTTTTGGTGCAAGCATATAAGAATATTCTGTATCCAAATATTTTTGTAGTTACAGTTTGACTTGGTAACAAAAACATCTTTTTACAAGTATTATGAAATTCATTATTACAGGTTTTTTATTCTCATTCCAACTATACCTAAAAACGGTAAACAAAAATTAGTTTTACGTAAAAGAGAGAGCTTTTTAAACCTCTTTACTTACGTATTCCGGGTCCACTTAGCGACGCCATTACGGAAACGTTTATTACAAGAAATAAGCAGTCGTTATTGGGAATTTTAAAATTGAAATTTCATATAAAATAATGCCCGTACCTGCTGCGACGATTCTTTGTAATATATTCTGACATTTTCTTCGAAATTATTTTGTTAATATGTTGTTAGGACGCGTACAGGAAATTGAAAGGGCGTTGGAACGTAAACAACGATCCTGTATATTTGTTTTCTGTTCATTTACATAAATATTTGGTACTTTTATTCGATACAGTTAACTTTAAAACGTTCCAGTCCATTTACTGCTGGATCTAAACCTCCAGCTGCGATCAACAAACCAATTTCGATTCGTCAAATAAATCGATTAGCTCTCAAATCGATACTGACTTTACTATGCAATTATCTAGGCGCAGACTGACTAGCTGCGACCAATTAACGCGTAGTTTACGATTATTAATCGAGTACTCGATAATTCGAGAACCAGATGGAACTATCGCCCTATAAATTGAAATTAAAATACATCGGTGGTTGTCCGAAGCGTCCTTACACGCGAGCTGGGCATAAATCACAATGTTTTTAAAAAAGAAAATAATAGAACGTATATACTGTGATAGAGTTTGGTGCAAAAATAAAGATTTCGCGGTTAGGAAAATCGAAAATTCAATGAGGCTTTCCATAAATATCGTGAATTTAATTCTAAATAAAATATTTTTCATTTGTTTACTTTTATTTTCATAATAATATGGATGTGTTTTGTTGAATATTTGTGAAAATAACCTTGATAACTTACTTTAAAACGTAAAGTTTTTTTCACAAATAGTTTTATGTGGAAACTTAATAAATTAATACTTTTAATATATTACAAATTTTACTACATTAATTAATTAATAGAGTATTTTACAAGCGATTTAATTAGACTATAAGCGTAACACCACTCACATTACAACCACTAGTCACATAACGCTTCTATAACCTAAAAAAACAACCTCTTTGACATCCCGCCACACATGTCAAACTTGGGCCACACCCGCACCCTAACATGTGTGGGTGTGCACGGATATTAAGTACAACAGTGTGTAACATTTCTTATTAATTAATGCGCACACACATAAATCAGTCTTGCTTCGTTAGAGTAACTACGACATAAAGGACTTTCACGTTTACATACTGTTTTTTTAATTTTATTTTTTTTTACCGGCCTGATTAGGGAGACTATGGGAAATGGAAATTTTATTAGAGTTTTTTTAATGAAGTTTAAATTATGTATTATTTATGAGAGAAAGGGTGGTTTGAATATTATATTGTTTAACATGTGTTTGATTGTGTTTTGTTTTGTGTAAGTTAAATGCAGTTTGTGAATAAGTGAGAACTGTGTTTGTATAAAACTTAAGAATCTTTCCATGTTTTTTTTAAGCATTTTTTTTAAACGTTGCCCCACACTAGGATTTTCTCCTGTGTCGTGGGTTCGTTTACAAAAATACAAATTCACATACGCATGACACCCAGACCCGGAACAACAATTTGTGGATCACACAAAGTGTTGTTCCGTGCGGGAATCGAACCCGCGAAACGTTGCACGGCAGCCGGTTGCCCAGCCACCGCACCAACCGTGCAGTCTTTGCTAATTATGTGGTTATAATTTGAATTTTACACCGGATAAGGGAAGATAGGCGAATATTTATTAAAGAAATAAATAAAATAAAATGTTACGTAATCTATAAAAAAATAATCTTGCAGAAACTTACAAGTTACTTATCAAAAGACCTATGATGGACATTCTACATTATAAACTATTTTCAATTTTTTATATTCTTATTTAAATAATACCCTTATCTAATTCGCTCAAACCGCAACCACACCTTTACGTAAGCAAATAAACTGCAAGTAATTGTGTCTCTAGACAAAGTACTTTGTAACTGATTTTTCAAGTAACTCTGTTGCATTCAAGTAACATTGTTTAATGTTTTTGGTAGTACATTGATGAAATAAATGCATTGACTGCACGGTTTGTGCAGTGGCTGGGCAACTGGCTAGCGTGCAATGTGTCGCGGGTTCGATTCCCACACGGTGAAACTATATATGTTCCACAAATTGTTGTTCCAGGTATGTGTGCCCTGTGTATGTGAACTTGTATGTTTTTAAACGCGCCCACGACACAGGAGGGACTCACATACCTGAAGTGGGACAACGTTAAAAAAAACAATTATTTTAAGAATTTTGTGCTTAATTACCCGACTGTAGGTTACCTTTTCTTAAAACTAGGGATAAGTAACGGATTTTTCTAAATAGAATCAAGGAACAATATTTTCTATGAACCTGGTTTAGTTCCTAAATTTTTAATTCAATTTATAATAATACTAGCTACTTCCACGCAGTTTCACATGCTCTACTCAGCTCCTATTAGTCGTAGCGTGACGTTTTATAGCCTATAGCCATCCTCGATACATGCACTATCTAACACAAAAACAATTATTTAAACTGTCAAACACCAAGCGGTCACCGGTGACCGCGACCTATTGTTCTTTAATTGTGTCTATAAAACCGGTACTCGACGAGTTAAATCAGACTTGTAGTTACGGAGATTAGCGCGTTCAAACAAACAAAAAAACAAACTTCCGCTTTATATAATAGTATAAGATTACATTTTAGATATAAATCTACAATCTAAAAAAGGTCTAACATAAAATAGTTCACTTCACTATAATAAATTCCAATATTTTCACTGCAAAAACTTATCCATATTTCAAAAACACCTTTGGAACACACTCACAAATTTCAGTTCAAAAATAATAAAGTCAACGTTCACATACACACGGCAGCAAAGTTCATCAAGCCAAGCAGAGAAACACATGCTTCCAATTAACTCATGTAACAACGTTTCATGGTTTCAAACAACCGCCACTTGATTGAGTTTTATTGTGTACCCGGTCGGTCTATTTCCTTTGATACGTATGTTAGGAATAGTAGGTGAACTTACTTCAGTTTTGTTGACAGTTTATCGAGTAGAAATTGTTTTACATATTTATTTGTATAGGTACTACCTCTATATAAATGTGTGAAAACTAAAAGTTTATGAAGATTTGTGCATCGATTTGTGTAGTTGTACTTGTATAGTTAGTTATTTATTTAGCAATTTGTGAGATAGAAAATTTCAAATCTTCCATGGCAACATTCTTTTATAAGGTTATTTTAATTGCACATTGTTGTCTTTAATAGATTATAAAAAGATCTCACTTTTCGTTACTCATATTTTGTATCCTGAATTCATTTAATTTATTGACGGTAAGCAAATTATTCATTTGTTTAATGAACCCGATGCCTATAAAGAGCACATTACATTGTAAAGATCAGATTATAAAAATAGATACGCCATCTTTATATTGATGATTGCGCTCTATGACATTCACACGTTTAAAATAACTGACAGCTTACAAATAACTCAACAATTAGACATAACGACAAACCAATTAAAATTACTATTATTCACTAAATAACACTAACATTTAATAACCGTGTCGCACTTCAAATGCGTCACTAAAGAATTTACAAGTAAACGCTTTGATCTGTCAACCGAGAAATGTAGCAAGAATTCTAACAAGCTCGCCATTTTCTTGCGCCGTATGTAGCATGGGCCTCTTTGAAGTGATTTCAGTACATGGTTTATGACCATATATAATTAAATGGCTGACTTTTTTATGACTGAGATGGACTGATATGATGTTTAAGTTGTTATTGTTATTAGCACGTGTGGTTTATGATATTCAGAATTAAGACTTAAGTGTTTGTGGTGTAAGACAATTGTACTATAATGTGAATATGTTTGTGCTAATGTTCAGTCCTTATTATGTTGTGTCAAGTGGAGTATGATTGGGGTATATGAGCTTATGGCATCGAACTCTAACCTATCAGTGGGTGGGTAACATATCAGTGCTTATAGTTGTTATATTTTTCTTTTTAGTTTTGATTTTTTAGAGTCGATATTTAAAAAAAGAAATAATTTAATTTTTTTAATTATTTATTACTAAGGTCGGTTTTTTAAACGCAGTTTTATTTTTTTATTGGACACTCGCATTAGGTAAACGTGACATAAAAAATAGATGGTATTTTTTCTATCAGGAGTTCCTATAAAACTAAAATAGTAATAGCTCGTCGCAATCTATGGTCGCCATTACAATTCGATAGTAGCCTATAGACAAAACAAAAAAAGAGAAACTCACACATTGACATCGTCTACATGTATGTACTTACCAATCAACAATTGTTGAGTGTTATCATATCCTTGCAGATCCATGTACCCTTCTTCATTGTTAGCAGTAACAAATAAAAATCCATTTCAGTATAACCACAAACAACAACAGATCTACAACCCTAACACAACAAGATTAAAGTATAAATTACTTCGCAGCATTTCCATTTAAAGTGGACAAAAAATATTTTAATGCATTTTAAATCGTCGCCTGTGAAACTGAAAGTTGGTTTTTGTTTGTAAGGTTTTATGAATGTTGTTCGAAATAAACCTTTAATATACGCGTATTGGAAGTTCAAGTGTTTCCGATTCAAATACATGATATTAACCGCGGCTTTGCTTTCTAAAAATAATATTGAAAAAACAAATTAAATGTTTGGGCGTCTGTTTTGTGATTCACTGATTCATTGATTATGAATAATATTATATGTATGTGCAATATGAATAAATAAATTAAACCAGAATAAAATTTGGGTTGAATGTAAATTATAAAGATAAAATATACCGATTATTATCGAAGTCATAACCGAACCAATAAAACTATGTAACTAGAGAATTGTATTGTAAACCTGATTGGAAAAGAGTAACCTATGGAGTTTCTTGCTCGTTCTTCTCCATAGGCATCTACGCCTTGGAATGAGCTTCACTTTTATTTATTTTTTTGTTGACGTTCAAAAGTGCCTTTCTGGTCTAATTGAAATAAATGATTTTGACTTTGACTTTGACATATTTCAACTTTAAAGCTGGAATGTAGAGGTACTAAAGAATGACTGACAGGCTATTATTTTATTTTGTATTAGTTGATGTTTCAAAAGTACGAAATTATGGTTTAATTTAAATAAATGCTTTGACTTTGACTTTGAATGGACAATTAAACTTATCACTTATTTTTTAAGTCAAGAAGTGACTAGAATATGATGATCATTCATTCCTTAAGTAAAAATTCTAGGTCTACTTGATTACAGAAATCTCTTATAAGGTGTAAAATATAGACTAGATGTAAAAAATAAAAAAAAACTTAACAAACAAAGATTAGGAACATTATCGTCACAGCGGATGTCCTCATTAACTGCTTAATTAGAGTTAATGCAGTTAAGGGGTTGTACACATAAAACTATACAACCAGTATAAATTGACCTTTGATTGTGTTGACAGATCGTGTAACGCGATACCATGATACACTGGTTGTGTATAGGTCGATGTGTTGCTGTTACTACTAAACGATAGTTCAATAGAATTATGATTGATTAACTAACATTGGCTTCAACGTAAACTTCGATAGTAACAAGTTTAAGATGATGAGAAAATTACCATTAATTAATATTTGTAATTGGTAATTTAGTATAAGTAGTTGGACTGACTCGTTAGCCGAGTGGTCGCAAGTGGGACTGCCGGGCAAGGGGTCTCGGGTTCGATTCCCGGGTCGGGCAAAGTATTACTGGGTATGTAAAAATTCTCAGTAGTAGCACAGAGTCTGGAATTGTGCGCGGTTTATGTCAATAGGCTCGCCTCCTATTACATGGGACTCATAACATAAATAATGGGTGTTAGATTGCACAGTGGCATTACCTCTAAATGCCGTAATGTGCACTTCTGCCTATCCTTTCAGGGATAAAAGGCGTGATGTTATTTAGTTTGGTAATGTTGTACCGAGTAGGATACTTGTTAGCTGTATTGTATTTTTAAAAGAATTACAAAGGTCTAGTTTAGTCTGTCTATATTCAAAATAGGCAGTTCCTATTTGCTACGATGCCCAAACATGATATCCTTTATCTACACTAGTATTCCAAATAGTCTCTATAAGCTTTCTTGTTTTCCTCTAAAGTACCTAATACATAAACGTAAGACGGTTGTTAGAAGTTAATACAAAAAATATGTGAATGGAAATGCTACGACCAAATTCTCCTATTTCCTTTGTAAAAAAGAAAAAAGTAGTACTCATCTTAAATACGAGAATTTTTACTTTTACCTCTATGATACTTCACAAAACTTACTTCCAATACCATTACCAATCTTATCAGATATTCGGAATGCCAAAACTTACCACTCTGACAAGGTACGCAGTCCGAGGTTCTCTGCACGGCCTGTCCTTGGCACGGCGCGCCGCCGTTCAAAGGGTGTGGTTCTGTACAGGTCCGGGTTCGACGCTGGCCTCCAGTCACGCGCCCATTGCAACGACACTGCGTCCACGGACCCCAAGAACTCCATCCACCATTTACTAAAGACAAAAGAAATTACAATTAGATCAGTTGTGACATCATTGCATTTTTAAGGAGAGTAGACGTTGTTCATATTTTTTTATGGCAGGATCACCGGATGGTAAGCAATCGGCGTCGCCCATGGACTCCTGGAACACCAGTGGCGTTACAAATGCGTTACCGACCTTTTGGAGATTAGGAGTTTAAGGATCGTTGGGGATTCAGGAATTGGGGAGATTCAGGAAGGGGAGGGTAATTGGGCCTCCGATAACCTCATTCACACGATGAAACACAAAGTTGTTTCACGTCGGTTTTCTGTGAGGCCGTGGTATCACTCCGGTCGAGCCGGCCCATTCGTGCCGAAGCATGGCTCTCCTACACTTAGCATGTATACTCATGTCCAGTTCTTCGAACAGATTGGTTCATAAGAAAGGTAGTTTCTTATATGGCTATGTTATAGTGCTGCTAAGTGTTGCTAGAATATATAAATATGGGTGATAAAATTATGCCATTTTATCCGAAGGGGTAGGCAGAAGTCCGCATTACGACACTTGATGCCACTGTATACCTCTACAATGTAACATCCACTTTTCACTAATCATGTTGTGAGTCCCATGTATTATGGGTGAGCCTTTTGCCATATACCGGGCATATTTCCAGACTCCGTGTTAGTACTGAGATTTTTTTTTAAAAACCCAGTAATACTTTGCTTGACCCGGGAATCGAACCCGAGACCCCTTGTCAAGCAGTCGCACTAGCGACCACTCGGCCAACGAGGCAGTCAAACATGAAGTAAGCTTTTAATTTATGAACAGCAGAAACTTAGTAATAATTTTCTCACAACTCAATGTAGTCAGTTCAAGATATAATGTACCAAAACCCATCAGCCATAAACTGTAGGATACCAATAAATAACCACAAATAGGAAAATCAAATTGATATACAAAATCACTTGATAATAATAAATTTATTTGAACTGGTATAAAGTTGCTTTAATATAAACTAGGTAAGTCTAAAGAAATAGTTCGTAAAACCAGATATTACTATTTATTATTTCGTTTATAGACTAGTTAGGAAATTTAATTTATATCACATTTTCATTTTATTGCATTTAACAGTAATATAGTTTTTAATACAATTGTAAAGTGAATTTATTGTGATTATTTGAAGCTTGGTCGAGAACTTATTATTTATTAATCTATCAGGTAAACCTAATTACCTAAGCGATCTGTATATCGATTTGATTACGGCGGTCAGTTTGAACTCGATTAGAAAATTGCGAAGGAAATTGTATATCTAACAATATTATCATTCTCGATCAAGCAAATACATATACCTAAGCGCAGTCTATTTTCTTTATTCTTAACAATCAGATGATAGATGCACAAGGTTCAACAGCTTTATTCATATTCTCTGACATCGTGAGTGAACCCGATTGTATCGTGATATATTATCGTGTACTTTTAACACTACTGATTGCAGTAAAGTTATAGACAAATAGATAAAAACAGTAATTTCACTAAACTTACGGTGCTGAAATAATATTTAGGTAACACTGTACAACGCAGTGATTGAAATGAAATGAAATATATTTATTCGGCATAAGACATGCACGCCAGGAATAAAAAGAAAATATATGTATACATTATAACAAATAATAATAAAAAGGTTTAAAAACAGAGAGAGAGAATGAATAAAAATGAAACGGATAATAAGCTACATTAAAAAAAAAAACAATCTAATAATAACGGGTACTATGCGGTTTTAGCGGACATGCCCAATCCGAATGGGTCGCCAACTCAGCAAAAAGCTGGGCACAGTGAGCACCCAACACTGATTTTCATTTGGCACTCCTGCAGTGAAGCACGGACGAGAGCACGGGGATAAGCATTGAGAAACACGCAGCTTCTCACCCTGTTGTAGGTTCAATTTTATTGGCTATGTGCAAAGCGCATAGTGGCGGACAGATAACGACCGCAGCGCACAACACGGCAGAAATTGGAAACAAATGCGGATGATGCAAACCCGGTTTTTATTATTATATTAATTTTACGGTAAAATTATTGAATAAATTGCACTTAAATAATGTCAACAATACTATTTTATATTTTAATCTTTGGTTTTATTTATATTTGCAAAGAAAATTATAATGTTTACATTGTTATTATTTGACAGCTTCCGCAAATTTTGTAAACGCTACGCGTCGCCACGGTCGCGCATATAGCCAATACGGAATGACTTGTTGTACCTGGCCTGTGTGTGTGCATGTAGCACTACCTGTTATTATAAAAATGACCTATTAAAACTTGCAAAAGCTACGTGGAAAAATCGTGACCAAAATACCGAGTGTAAAAATTCATTTCAGTGTTTTAGAATTAGAGAAATCATGAGCACGCGAGCTTTGGGTACCTACTACCTTTGTTGTATACTAAGAATTGTATGAACTCCCAATTATTAGGGAATTAATGTAAATAGCGTGTAATTTCATGTTTTCGTGACCGTGTTTTGTTTTAATATTGTGTTTGTGTTGGTATTTAATTTTGTCACAATAGGGTTGTGTTTTCGTTCTTAGTTGCAGCGATAATTGTTATACTTAGAACCAAATCGATGTTGATATATAACGTCATGGTCAAAATTTTGATATCGGCCTATACACATGGATTCTAAGTGAACAATTAAATACGATTTTCTTTTCAGAAAAATAAGATCCGTTAGATAAAAAGCTTTCTAGAGGAAGAGCTTAGTAAGTGTGATTCATTTAAGTTGGTAAGAATTAAATCAAACATTGTGACATGAAAAAGGCCAGAAAATAACAAATTAGGTATACGAACAACTGAATTGTATTAATTAGCACCATACACAAAAAAACACACAAAATCTCACCACGAAACCAATCTAGATCCAATTGTAGCAACTGGCAGAACTGAGGGCCGTTCTGTGCTATATCTTTACCGAAGATCGAACACGCGACTTAGCGTGCTACTCAGATACCTAACCTAGGTACCTAGAATTTACTTTAGTCTAATAATACATTAGTAGGTACATGATACCATCTATTTGTGTTACATACACGAATAAAGATCGTGGTGACGATAATGAGCTACAACAAATTATTTTCTACAATTGTATTTTGTTGTATTGTTGTGTTTTAGATACGTTTATTGTATGTCAAAGTCAAAGTCAAAGCATTTATTTTAATTAAACCATAAACTGGGACTTTTGAAACGTCAACAAATACAAAATAAATAATAGTCTGTAAGTCAGTCCGTCAGTGAAAATAGGTGACGCTAGGTGCTCCTGATATAAATACCTATGCCAAAGATTTTCAGTTATACCATGTCGTTTGGTAATATTCTATATCTCCAGATAAGTCCAGTCGGTCTAACTTTTCTGGAGTCTTATGCCCAAATACTGAAAGGCACCTTACAATTGAGTAACCTTTCAGTATTCAAGCGATAGATGAGATCAGAAGTTACACAAATAATTATATTATTAACGGTTTTTTTAAAAGTAGTGTACGTTTAAAAAAAACCAACTTCAACCTCCTTTCTTTTGATATATATATGATATGATATATAAATTAATATACTAAACCTTTTACTAAGTATTACAAACAATTTTCTGAAAAACGTATCGGTTCAGCTTATTCCGAGATAATAGCGCACGAACATACATACAGGTGACACTGAGAACCTCCTTCTCTGAAGTCGACTAAAACCTTCTACTTTGGTACTCAAATAACTTAAAAAAACCCACACAAATGAATATAATCCTCTCAAATAAATAGAACAAGTCAATAAACAAGAATTAAACCATCAACCTCAGTCCATCGCTGTAGGTATTATCGCCATCACTTTGGAACAAGAAAAGAAAAATCTTAAAGTCTTCATACACACATTTAATGTAACATTACAAGCAATATAAGTAAAGTCAGCCGTTTTCGTAAATTATAGTTAATAGGCCACCATAACCATGACTTACGTTGAAAGTAAATCGAGGGAAACACGGCTCAGTATATGGGATAATGATATTATGTTAAATACATGGTGCATAAAGTGTAATTCAATTCAAAGGTGATGTTTTAAACTAAGGTTTTACGAATGAGGGCGTTTTAAAGCTACTGTTATGCAAATTAAAATTGTAAACCTACACTTTTTGAATATCTTGTAATTAGGTACGACCTAAGGTTTTAGGCGCCTAGCTTCACTGACAGGCAAACCGAATGTCAATTAAATTTTTGACGTTTATAAAGTGCCTAATTGGGAATTGATTGAAATAAATGCTTTGACTTTGACTTTGACTTTTGGGATACCTTGTCTATACAAAATAATATGAATATTTTAGTTATACCTATGTATAACTTTTATATTATATTATTAATTTTAACAAGAAATCATAGGATGATAAGCAAGGAACAGTGTTTCTAGTATTCAAAAGTAATTTTAAGAAACTAAAACTACTTTTGAATCGCATAAGTCAACTAATATTATGTCAGTAGTATCTTACTCCATAGTGTTACTAACATATTCAATAATGTACACCCTACACTAAGCGATAAAACCGTATAAAGTAAATGATGATGCCTTTAAGAATATTATTATTGGAATTGGACATTTTTTTTATCTCAATTTCCTATGGCCCAATGTCTTTTAACTCGTCGAGTACCGGTTTTATAGACACAATTAAAGAACAATAGGTCGCGGTCACCGGTGACCGCTTGGTGTTTGACAGATTAAGCCATCATTTCGTTTTATTGGTCAGATCAAGTTGTTTTTTGAATTTTTATCGTGTAATTATTATAGAAATGGGATAGAACTGTTGTAAACATAGTGAGTAGTGTTACAAATTAAGACAGGTACATGTATATTTTCTAATGTGAATAGTATGATTGTGTAAGCGTTTTTTGTGAACTGAAAGTTTTGTAATCGGCTATAAATAATTAGGAACATAAGTTTAAAACAAGATGCCGCCGTTGTAGTATAAAGTACAGATAGTTTAAAAATACAGAATTATGAAATACGGATTTCTTCAAAGGGATCAAGTTAGGTATTCCTATAATCTAAAAGTTTCTCAGGGTCTGTGTTTATCAGTACCTAACCTACGTATATTTGGTCTAGATGATTATCAGCACATTTATATATATTATATTTGTATTCAGGATACAGCTAAATAGATCAAAAATAGAACATTTCGTCTTTATGTCGGGTTCAGGAATGTTTAAAATTGTATTTATTTATATGAAGTCAGGGTTGAATCATTAACCCATTACTAGGATTCATTTATTTTCGCATAAAGTAGGTACAACCCCGATTATATTCATCCCTCATTAGTTCTGCAGGGTTGTTCGTTTCTATATCAGAAAAAGGATTAAATGTTGTTCATCTTTAATGTGTGTATTTCTATCAAAATATTTTATTTAATATTAATTATTTTATGGAAGATGCAAGAATATTAATGGCCGTAGCACAGTTGCACCTATAACTATACACTAATGATATTCATATTTTAATCCCGTATAATCCTGGGAGTAAACCTATTATAAAGTTAGGATTAAGCAACTTTGTTTAAGTTACTAAACGTTTGTCATGAGAAAAAACTTTCACCTATAATATTGAGTGATTTAATACAAATTCTAATTTATGCAAATCTTCTGAAGATTATAATGAATCAATTTTTCCTATGTTCATAAGTAGGTAATTTCCTGTCCCATTGTAATTCTGTTGTGAAATGTTAAAAATATTCAAATTGAATATCATAATTTCATCTTTCGTCCAAATTAATCTTTGTAAATCCCACATTTATTATCGAAATTTCGATATTAAGTTTCTTAATGAAAATTAAAATAAATGACAATCATCTATCGTCGGCGACAGAAGTTCTTAATTAAAACATAAAATAAATGTATTTTATTAATCTATTAGGTGGTCTTAATGTCTTAATTTTATCTTTCCAATAATTATTAGTTGGAAAACTAAATAATTACATTTTGGATATTGTAGAGAGCGGCCACCCGTGGTGTATAATTTTAGTGTTCGTCTCAATAAAAATTGATTGCCAGGTCGCATCTCTAGTTTGTTATTAAACTATTAAAATACTGTTAATATTAATAAAGTGCCTTACATTCTAATGGCGGTTGTGGTGCCTATAAAATTCAGAATTTTATACGTCGTATAAGATTATTTACGTTCGTAGAACTTGACTTGGGTTAGCTTATGAGCTTCACTGGAAACTATTCGAGTTTCGTGTCACGTTGTAATGGTATTGTAAACATTCCTTTTAATGTTTGGAACATGGATTTAGTTTTTGAACTCTGTGGCAGTTATGTTTCTTTATCTATCATTATTACTTTGTTGTTTCTTTATGCAGGTCACCGGTTTGTGAATGGGGATTAAGTTTGAATTTTTGTTAAGTTTTTGCAAGTTATGTCCTTATTTTTGTTCTTATTATGATGGATGATTGTTTGTAAAGAGTATATTTAAATATAACAGCTACTATTTGTTATTAATCACAACAATTGTTATTTACCGATTCCCAAAAAAACCTCCGTCAGAGTGCTCTATGCAATAGTAAAACATTCAGCTAATTAATAAACTGGAGACTTGTCCAGCCGTCACCCTTTTTAGATTTAACACCGGGTCAGCACATTGTTTGTTAATTAAAATAACCGTTTTATTTGTAGGACACAAACGTAGAATTTTTATACGTAATAAACACGAAACGTGTATCGCATTAGAAGTATTTTCCTAGAAGTACAAATAATTTTATACAATAAAAGTCACAATAGGTGTTTATTGGTTTTGCTGGAAAAATACTTATTTGGAGAAGCTTGTCAACAAGGAAATTGTTAAAGAAATGCAGACAGTTGATATAATTCGTGATAATTACGATACAAACAATAAAATAGAAGAAGATAAAGTTATATTTAAAAACATGACACCGGGTTATAATAAAAACAATCATTTTAAAAGTACAAGCGACCAAGACGACAACAAAGAACACAATCAAGCGAGATCATTATACAATCGTGGAGCATAAAAAGTACTGAGGCGACGACACTCGCCCACGCCTCACTATAATGACGATATATAGCCCAATTTGCGACCAAACGATACATTCCGACAACAAAGAGTATTTCCTTCTAATAGAGGTAATTGGTGCGAAGCAGGAACAATTAGAGAACTTGGAAATAGCTAAAGCTACGTTAGTAGTTGAATTGTGATCATAGAATCGTTCGCTTGTAATTTCAAAGTCTTTGGCCTATTTCGAAGTGCAAAGATCAATGTTTAGTTTGTAAATGGAATCATTATTGTTAAAGTTTCTCGTTCTGATTCAATGGGTAAGGACGAGGACGACTGGTGAGACTTCGGTGGTCCAACTTCAATCAATTATAGTAGATATTTTCTTCTTGATAAGGTGTAGTATCATTTAATGATGGTAGTACAACAATTTAACAGCAATTTGAGTAATGAAGGTGTAATGTCAAAGTTTAAAAGGCTCATCCTTATTGGCCGTAATAGAGACGCCAATTCAAACGGTGCAAAAGTTTGCTTCGTGAGAAATGATTTAAGGGAACAAAGCATCCGGGCTACTTAAACAATTATTGGATAATAACAGGTAATTTTACTTCAAGCGAAACTGTTTAAGTAATTCTCAAAACATTAAGCATCCTGGTTCACATGTTTCAAAGGATATGGGTACCAACATTGGGACCATATTTGTCACCAATTGCTTTCACATGTAGGTTATAATAGCATGCATAAGCCATATACAGGAGCTTTCTTAGCAAGCCAGCGGCTAGTCACGTTGCTAAAATTAAATATGAATCATAGTCGCGAAACAGAATTTCGGACGTGCAAGTCAGAGGTGATGATTGCTATCAGTTAGATGGCGCCTGCATCGCGTAGGCGTCTCTAATGACTCTCCCATGCGCTTGCGCCTCGCTATAATTGCAGCTATCGGCCCATGCCCTTTGATCTTACTGAAGTAAAGATAGTTATTACGTACACCAAGGGTGAAATGAGCGTTAAACAGCTTGTCTGATAAATTATACGTGAAATAATGAAACGTGCAACCATAACTTGTTGGGTGAGGTGTACCTATTAAATTGTCTAACGCTCTTTAGTCGGTAATGGCTGCGGCGCTTACTACTTCAAGTTATGGATTTGATAAGGATACATAAATTCTGACCAAGTTTAGTGCGGCATTGACTTCCTGGTTTATAATATCTGGATTATATTAACGCGTTACGCCCATAAAACTTCAAAGGCATTCGATTTTGTTTCATTTGTTATTTTGTGTTTTAATGTTCTTATGGTTTCTATAATGCTAATGTACTCACCATAAACAGTCAAGAGGGCGGGTTCAGAGATCCTCTTGCCGGCGATGTTCTCTGCGACGCAGCTGTAGTTCGCCATGTCCTGTTAACAATAATAACCATTAATTGAAATATATTAGTGGGCTCAAGTTCAGTGTTAAGTAACAGCTGTGTATCATGTTATTAGAGTTTTGGGGCCATTATAACTTTGGATATTGATGTCATTATTATGTCACTATTGAATTACGTGTGATCAATTTTATGTTGTCTATTCCTAAGAAATTATTATAATAATAATAATTATGATATATTCACATCATATAAATAAATCATTCTAAGCAATCTGAAATTATCTTCACGAAACAATACGGTATATTCTAAGATGTTTCCTAGGCCCTATCACAGGAAAGGGCACAGCCATATTGTAATTATACGAGCACATATATTTTGCTAATCTCCTAGAAATTGCTAAAGCGACCTGTACTAAATCTCAGACGTCATAATGTCCACGATTATACAGAAATCTACGTCGCACGTGGGTTATAAAGGTTTATTATGAGGTCGATAAAGTTAACGGACACCTATTTATACAACTATCACCGTCAAGCTCAGCACAGGACGGAATAAAGGTGTACATTCTACCTAATGGCATAGCTACTTTAACTGAAATTGCCGAGTCCACGTAAAAAGACGCTGACTTAAAGAGTAATTTCGTCGCCAACTCCCTTTTTCAAATTCCTGACGAAAGCTACACAAAGTCTGTATCTGAACTTTATATCGAACCACCTAATTATAGCATAGAACATAATTTTAATTACACTCCTTAAGTATTTGTTAGACGACAAAAACAAATTAGCACCCGCATTGCTTGAAAGGGCAAATATAAATTCAAAGTGTTCATTACAGCGCCCGTCTCCGTAATATATTTTTACAACCGAAAAGCTGAATGTGTTAAAATTACAAAGGACGGGAGCCATTAATTTAAAAGACGTACAACACATTACGATCATATTCATTAAGAAAGCGCTCTAGACACCTTTGTGAAGATTATGTTACACACGAACCCACAATGAGAGAACGACTGACAGTGGTAGCAATTAATCCATGTCTGCTCACAGTGCCTAATTAGTGGGAGCTGCGTAGCGGAAACCGGAGATGGAATGAGTTATTTGCGATTGTGCCATTATTTGGTGATGTGGTTGGAAAACAATATTGTATCACGTCTTTTGAATTTATCTTCACGAGGAATTTGTTTTGCTCGTGTATGTATGTTATTTGTAAACAAAACAATAAGTGTGTTACTTATGTACACGACATAGTACAAGTATATGCAATGATTTTGTAGACATTACGAATTGTTTTTAACGAAGACATTTTTTATGATTGATAAGCCATTAGGTATCTCGCCTGTTGGTAAGCGATGATAAATTGCAGCACGTCTACCCATAAGCAACCTATTCACCCGGGCCTTGAAACCACCCAAGTTATGCCCTTGAGGAAACACAGATTCTGGCAAATGGCTCATTAAACCCTTTTGTTTAATTTTTTTGAATTTGATTTCAATATTAATGGCAATGGTTTATATAAGTACATTGATACTAGAAGTAAAAATGATAGATGCACTTAAATTGAATTAATATTAAACAGAGAGATATAACCACAACACCTAAGTCTAAGTGATTACGACAACTGACACAACATTAGCATAATTATATCAGTATTAATGTGCAGAGAATGCAGCTACTAGCGTCGACTAATAAAATACACTACCAATCTCCAAAGCTCACGAATTAATTTTATAATCAACACATCAATTTTAGCCCAAACGGGTATAAAATCAAAGAAGAAAAATACTCGGGTCAAGCGAAATTAATTGCTAAAGATAAACGAATCTTTTCCATGAAATATATAATTGGATTAACACAGGTTTAACACTTTTATCGGAGAATATCCAGCTTTGAAAGACATTGAACGACAAAAAGTCGAAAAAAGAGAAGAAACGCACCCGACAGGGACTTGTGTCGCAATTAATAAACGTCTGTCGCGCTCGACTAATTAGTTGCAGTCGTAGAGATAAAATAAATAATTTGCAATCGTGCGACAAGATGATGCGATTGTGCGCGCTGACGCTTTGAAGGAGCATTTTAATGAGGTGCGTGGCTTAAAGTTAGCAACCGACTCCAGTGTCATTGTGTGCATAGCTGTAGACTATTGCTATCCACTTCAAATAGAACACAGACTGAAGTACTTTTAAATAAGATGTAAAATTAAGTAGCCATCCTTTTGGTACGTAAATTAAAACAAAAGGTCGGCTGGTGAATTCGCTCACATCATTTCATCGAAATTGGTTCAGTAGATTTCTTGAGGATTAATTCTCATGTATTGGTTTATCTAATAAATAGTTTTAAGTGGTGATTCATCATGATAATAATTTAGTGACTCGTGTCTACTCGCAATGTCTTTTAAACATTAAATTACATTAATTATTTTCTATGATCTCCGTCTTTAAAATTCGCCACGTGTTGTTAACTAATTCTATAGGTAGTTTATTTTCATCTCTAACATTTTGAACTTAAGCTTCATAGTCCCATGAGACAAGTAATTTACTTTTATTACAGTACAAATAGTTGGCCTAATATTGACATGTGTTTGTAACGTGACTGTTCTAAGATCGTGTTCATGCTCATTGTTTGGATTTGTGGCTGTATTTTATTAAGCTTTTAGTATTATGGCACTAATTTATGGATCATAAACGCTGTACATCTGGGGCATTAGTCCTTGGGTGGTTTCAGTAGCATGTTATTAACTTTTTAATAAGTATCATTACGATCTGTTTGGTTTCCGGGGTGACGATACATGAGTCATTCTCAAAACAGATCTTGTTTTCCAAAAATTACTTTGACAAGATAGTCTGAATTGGTGCCAAAATATTTTTTGGACTGTCTGTCAGACACGGGCGGACATATAAAATGAAACAATAGGATGACTAAGCCGAGAGGACGTATTAAAGTCAAGAGGTTGTATTCGTCGATTTTTGTTAGCTCGTCAACTTAAATTGATCTTTGTTTCCGAAGACATCTCGAGGCAGCATTTTATACATGCTTCTCAATTTCAAATTCTTTGAATTATACGCAATATTTTGAGATCGCTTTCGGCCTTCGTTGCTTGTTTACATAATTTCTTATACCCAAGCTATGTTTCAATGTTGTTTATTTTATTGTGTTTGAAGTTAATTTCGATTTCAAGTTTATTGACAATATATTCGTTTTATGTTCTTAGTTTGACCTGAGTTGTAGTTGTCTGCAGCATTGATTAAGTATCTGGGTCATTCTCAGAATCTTAAATAGGCTTTGGTTTGGTTCTAGCATAAGTTAGTGGTTTTAATGAATCTTGTTTGACACGATTTCTTTATTCGACAAGCTATGGGTTTTAACTGATTCCGAAAGCTTTATGATTGTGTAAATAGTTGTAAGTTGTTTTATCTTTGTAAATCTTTACTGCCTGACTACATTATGGTCTACAAAGTTGTTTTTAGATAGACTGTTCTTAATTTTTGAGCTTATACTTCAACAATCGTGTGATCGAGGGTACAGGAGGCCTAAACCCCCCCTCCCCACTTTTCTCAATCCCCGAATCCTACACCATCTTCAAATTCCCAATTCCTAAAAGGCCGGTAACGTATTTGTTACGCCTTCATGTTTCAAGATGTCCATGGGCGGCGCCGATTGCTTACCATCAGGTGATCCGTCTGCTCTTTTACCGGCTATAAACAAACAACTTTATATAGTGATTCTTACTTGCAAAGTAGCTCTAGAAATGAGAAGGTTTCCCTCAGCAGAGATGAGAACATTATGGTCTTGCTGCAGCGGCTGTCCATGCTTCAACCAGGAAATCCTGGGAGCTGGTGCTGCAGCAGGAGGGGAGCAACGTAAGGAGGCAGCAGAACCAGCCTCCACTGAGGCTGGAGTTGGTGATACTGCGAAGGGTTTCTTGAGATCTGTGAATAAAAACGAACTTTAGAATGTGTGAACAGAAGAAATTCTGTAATTTGCTGAACATATTATTAATGCAAATGTAGATTTATAAATACAATATTTGTTTCACGTAGGAGTTGTCTATAATGATATAAGATCTATTTTGGTTAGTATTGATTTTGATTTTGTAGTATAAGTAGTTATGCTAAGAGATAAAAAAGCATGCAACCATAATAATAACTCTACAACTGTTATAAATATACCAACTTTAGAACATCTCAGTCTATTCAACGTAAATGCGACAATGAATACCATTGAAATTGAATGAAAACAAAATAAGATTTTTTATAATATTAAAACAAGGAAGGCAGCAATCAATAACATTTTTCCCGTCCCGCATATTCTAAATTAATTAGATTAACTCGATTGTAATTGACGTAACAATGAAGTTAATAACATAACAATCAGATGTCAATAACAATTAGCATGACGTCGACGTCAGTTGCCAAAAGCTTTTGATCTAATTTAATAATTGTTGGGAGTTGCACAATGAAGTACCGTCTCATGTAAAATAAGAGGGGGTTTCCAAAATTAATATGAAATACGATCAATTTCCTTCCTTTATGGATTTAAGGTATTATTACTGACACTTGAATTATATTAAATCAAAATTCTAGATGAAACAGATCCTTATTTTTTTTCTCTTTTAAACTTTAATAAACAATGTGAGCACCTTTTTGTACCAGGACAGACAATACCAATCCTTAATTAGTGAAAAACCTCATCAAACCCCATCAGTTCACACCATACACTGTAAATCATTCCCACGCCAATCACGACGTGACATAAAAACGCAGGGCCACACGATTGCGTCCCGTACAAACGACATGCGACAGTTCCATTGCACCCATGTCGATAATTGTCGTTCATTTAACAATTTTACGGTGTTTTGGTACTTCACCGCCGTGTAATTGTGAACTATCTTAATTAGTCTGCTGTGCCCAATTATTTGGACCAACGTGTAACGTGTTTTTCATGGTAACGTTTGAGGTTGAAATGTTTTCATTTGGTTTTTGGTGATAATTTTGCTACAAACCTTCTGTCAGTTGTTTATTTATAGCAAGGAAGTAGTCTACATGGTATTTTAGACCATAACATTATCTCTGAGTCTTATTTTATCCAGATTCGTTTAGTAGTTTTTACGTGTTCAGTAGTTTTTAGTATCCTCACAAATTCACTATCTTTCCCTTTCATAACATTAGTTTGGATATAGCATTGTTTCAGTGGAATTTGTTGTTTCATTAACATGTGGTTTGTGTTCAGATTGTAAGACAGTGTTCTGTTTATTTGTGTTGTTGCGAATTCGTATAATTAAGGTGAGATGAGAGCGCGGTATCTTGTCACACTTGTGTACTAATATTATCAGGTACTTTTAATTCACATGGAACTTGTGATTCTGATCTAAGATTATTACATAAAATAGATGTTCACATAACCCATCAAATAACTACCACTACAAAAACTAACACAGCGTACAGTCGGCACAAAATGTTCTGCCCTCAACTCCAAAGTGGTTTAACGTAGTGTGTCCATAAATCTGTTGGGTGTACGCTCCATTACTTGCTCCCGCTAAGATATCGCCGCGCACTACGAGGAGGTGAAAACTTGAGAATTTTCTGCGACTGCAACTTATAAACATGTTGGAACGATGTTATTTGTCACTGTGTTTCAACATGGTTCGTTTCTTTGCGATCCTTTTACGGGAAAATGAAAAATAGGTGATATTATCGTTTCCCAAGACGAGTTTTTATCCTTGAATATAATCGTAGGTCTTGCTAATCCTGAAGCCGCGAACAACTTAACGTGTTGCCGGGGCTCCAGCTTGAAGCAAGAGTAGGAACAAGGTAGGTTTCCTCTCCTCTCTCCTCCTCTCGCCTCACCTAGGACGGGAGGAGTTATTAGATCATTTTTCCTCTTAAAAATAAGGTACATATGTACATAAAAATAATGATATCCATGTTAGTAGAAGACAGTAATTGCATCAACTCGTTCCCCGGCCATGTAATCCCTGCAAGGCGCTGACTAGCGGTTTTAATTGAAAATTCTCAGGTAAACCCAGGAATTGGAACGTTGCTTAGACACCCCTATAACTTTCCAATACTGTTTTAGGAAAATGTATCGTATTTTATACTTTGTTATACGTGTTGGATGGAAAAATCCCTTGTGAGATTTATTGTGTTTGTTGTTTAATCAACATGGAAATTTTAAGAAAATTATAATTACAAATACACATAAAAATTTCAGCTTTACATTTACTAGCGACTAGGAAGCGGATGCCACCACCAAATATGAATCTTAATAAAATTCTTCAAATTACAACACTAACACAAATTAACGATAACGACATTCAATTAACCGAACTAATTAACAATCCTGAATACAATCCTAGAACATAATACTGTGGCTTCATTACAATAACTACAAGTAAAATTAGTCTACAACCCAGAATTCCCTACATTAAACAGGAGTAAAGTAGTAATTTTGTTACTACACTCCAGAGTGGAAACGTGACTTGCATTATGAATTGAAATGGGCTTCAATAAGAAAAGGACCTAGTGCAAGTTTCTTCATACGTCAACGTTACCGCGTATAACCTTCTGATTGGTTGGTTAACTTGGAGCTGGCCAATCCGAACGCTGAACGCTACAAACGTGTAAATGGTGATAACGTGAAACAAACTCGTACTAGGCCTTCAGTAGGAAGGTCGAAAGGTCCCGATGGTGCAAACTTGTGAATCTAAGTAATGATTGTGATGAATGATAGGACTGTTGGCGCCGGTAGACTACGTGGGTAATGGCTTATGAATAATTTTAGTGTTGCATCAGATTGTGTTTTTTGCGATGATGGTATGAATGGTGAATGATTAGGTAAGAATTAGAATATTAAGTAAATAATTATGTATAGTTTAATGCCTCACTTATACCTATAAATAAAGAAAAGACAGGACTAAAGTGACAGAATAAAAGAAAAAGAAAATATACTTTTGAAAAAATATTAATCTGTCGACTGTTCTTGTTGTCGACTTGACTTGTTCCGTGGTATCTCTTGTTGAGACTTTTCCAACTTATAATAAAAAACATATAATATCGACAATAACAATGAAATGTAATCTCACCTTACGGAATATTGAGGTGACAAATATTAGTTGATTCCTAATAAGATTGTAGGTACTATCACACAATCATTCTCACTTCAATATTATGCAACATAAGATCGAATATCCTATTATACAAGAAACTGATACCACTAATTCAATTTGGAAGCGTGATAGAAAGATTTTTCATTACAGACAGTACAGACGCCAGCTGCAAGTCAACCTACACCAATCTGTAAATATTTTTGGACTTTATATCATAAAGAATAAAGTTGAAAATGTAATTGGTTGAAAAGAGTAGGTTTACACGCTGGCGTATGTAGTAAAAATATGAATTCTATGTAACTTTAAACTGTGGGTCTGATGGTCGTAAGTGATAAGTGTTAGGTGAATCCGGGGAGTTCGTGTAGACTCATAAATTACAGAGCGCGTTTCATTTCCTCTACGAAATTCGTACCTACGCGAGCGAGGAGGTAAAGATACTGGATGCGTTCTGTTGTGGTAATTGGGAATGGCATTTTTTTTTAATTGTGTTTTTGTTTTTAATTCGATTTTAGGTTTGAGTACTCACGAGTGTAAACCTAGAATTGTCTTAATTTTTTAAGTTAATGGTGATATATTGTATTTTATTAAATCCTGTTCACTAATTACCTACTTGGGATATATGGAATTATCTGTAGTCTAAAGAGTCTTTCAGTACTCAATATTAATCAAAAAATCGCTAATTGGAATTGAAATATTTCTAGAGAAATTTTCTCGAGGTGTTTCTATAAGAAAAGCATCGGTGAAAGCCATACTACTAGCAAGAGCGATATTGCAATTTTGCATAAACACAGCCGAGCCATTTAATAACTAGCAAACACCGTAATTATTCATAGCACTCATTTCCCTTTTGTAAACTCTCACAACTTCTAACACTATAGATAAAACAAAGCGATCAAGCACACAACTTTATTTATACATATCCGTAGAAATTGAAGGCAAAGTAAATATTTCAAATAATCCAGATACAGACAATTTTGAAATGTCACAACAAAAATGTCCATCACTTTGTCTATCAGTCTGTATTACAGACAAACTGATGGAAAATGAAAAAAAAAACGAGACAATACATACATTATTTTATTTTATTAGTAGGTACCAAAATGTTTATCACTTCCAGTACTTCAATCATGTTACTTTATATCTTTGTTGCCAAAAATGCAGCGCCGCATATGGAATACGGATTTTCTGTCTGTTAACATTGAATTATTTCAGCCACACTGCTTTCATACAGTTATCGTTTTATTTCAAGCGTGAAAGGCATAGTCTCGTATTTTATATGCATAAAACATAAATATTTTCCATAAGGTGAATAAAATAACCCTTATTTGTAGCACAATACCTATAGCTTACGTATTAGTTTACCAATATGTAGCTAACTAAATAACTCCAGGTCAAAAATGTAAGTAATAATAATAGTCAAATCTAAATCAGTTCAATTTGTGAATAAAACCAACTACCTCACAAATACCAACCTAAACTCTAGTACCTACCTACAAATTCTGACATCCACGAAAACGCAGACGTTCCTACACTAAAACATTCATACAAAACTCTCGCAGCGAATGTAACCATACACTTCAAAAATAGGTACAAACGCCTTCACACTACAGTGACGTCCATTCCGATACTCAATAATAGATCAACACTATAACTGAAAGCCAACTTTACCTTACAATCAATGAAAATGTTAAATATAGACACGCGACTCGTTTACCGATCCATTAAAAGCCCCCACTATAGATGGCAACTTAAAAACATCACATTCCTACATGGCCATAGTAAATTGTCGGAGGCGACTTACCAGTGACACTTTTATGCGTACTTAGTATGCATCCATTATTGTTAATAGCTTCATAGATGCTGTTTAAGTAGGGATGTGTACCTATTTTGTGTATTTTGAGAATGAATCAAGTTGACGTGTAATGTCTTCACGAACGCATCTTACGAAATTAGTGCCTCCGCTGTATTTGCTTTAAGTGCCTTCATCAATCAGTTGATTTCAAGCGTAGGATATCAAAACATTAATGTTTGTGTTGCACAAATATATCACACGTGAGATTACTGACTTCACATTATATCTGTTGTTGTAAAATATAGGTAGGTATGAGCAATTAATTGTATCGTTTTTTGTTTCTTGGCAGAGGGCGCAAATTTCGCTTTTGTTACTACAGTTTAGAAAAATATAATAAAAGCTGTAGCAGTGGATCCTAACTTTGAACTAGAAAATACCATCGACAGTCGCAAAGCAAGCATAAAGCCTGAAACAACAGTTCGACTTTTTGCGATTGATGACATCTTATAAAATTATTTCAACAATTACCTACCATGCTTTTAATATCAGTCACATGAATCTAGCAACAGAGGGAACACAACCAAACCGTAACAGATTTCACTGTCACCCTCGATCCAAAGTAGAAATAAAATAAAGACTTAACCTAACAAGTCGGAATAAAACACACGCGTTCTCAGTCATCCGGTAATACGCAGAGAAAACTCATAAACATCTAAATACAGAAATTGAGAGAGACATTACAATCTCTTAATTGTGCGAAGAGACTGCGCGCGGTAAACTTGCACTAAATTTACATCCTGACGGGTTTAATTGTTCGCTCGCTTGTGCAATAGAATGGTGGCGTATCTAGGTAGTTTATATCTTTGGATTTTGGATATGGTTTCGTATTTTGTACATGTTGCCAATTAGTGTGCTTCTAAAATTTTATGTATCTAGATTATTATCATCGTATATATTTTTCTCAAGATAAACATTTGGCATGTTTTGTTTACATTTTACTGGTTGTGTTATGACTTTCAAATAGTGGGAAGGGAGATCACACCACACATAACTCCAGAATCCAAGCTATTACTGACTTCTTCGAGCTGCGTATCATACTCGAGAATTCCTTAGTCAGTAGACGTGTTTGGCTCGCCTTGACTTATAAAGCGGACAACATCTATGTAGTATCTAGATTCAAAATTAATTGAAAGTGTAAGTATCATGTTTCCAATTAAAATCATCACACGAACCTAGCTTATCTCTTTCAAACCGTCAAAATACACTTGCATTTCACTATTAAAACTTTCACCAAATTAAAATTCTCGTTCGCTATGCTTTTCCTTCAAGCTCGGATCATGCGAACGCTTGGTGTAATAAATTACTAATATCTAAAATCACAATTTAATACCTAGTAAGGTCTAGCTTCAACTTTAAACCGTTGTTCTACTTCGACACAATCTACAAGTTTGCAATACAATGAACTTTATGTTCCGTGCCACGACTCAGGAGTGCCATTGCAGGAATCATTGAATGTCATGAATTACATTCTGATCTAATCTCGCCTTTGTTTCGTTAAATATGTGATTTCTGGCCACGGTATTCGGGTAGGGGAGGTGGAAATGGATTAGTGTAATCAGTTCTGGTATGCTGTTATCCTTGTCTAGATAATGGTCATAAACAGTTTTTATGTTCGGTGCATGTCAGTTTTATGAGTCATGTTATAATTTCATGAATTCCAATAGGAATGCTCTCGATAGTCGATTCAAAAGCAAATGATTCAACGGTAGCTAATCAATAGAAACAAAAAAAACAATGATTTATGTTCATTTCATACCCCATCCAATTATCAAATAAATAACAAGAGAAGATCCCATAATTATAACAAAACATGATTTATGTGCGTATGTTCTAGTATCAAAATAACAGTACTCGTACTTGACCGCCTCAAGTATTGCCCAACACCCATAAATCCAGGCAACGGTCATTCCGACATTTATTTAATATGCATAGAAGATTTACCACGAATGGGTATTGAATTTAATCGAGCAACTGTCCGTAATACAGTTTATGAACAATATTAATGGCGCCATACATCACGGGAGTTTGATGGTGGCGGCACTTTGTCTTGTCACAACATGCTCTTTTTGGTGAGTTTATTTTGGTCCTGGACAACGTATTAATATTGTATTCTTACTTAAATATACCTTTGTCGAAGTTACCTTAGAAATTAATAGCTATTTCCAAGCTGTGGATACTAGAGAGTAATTTAAATGCAATAATGGATCGCACATCAACGTCTGTCGCTACGGTGATGCTCGTAAGATCCATCATAGTAGTTGGTCAATTCATCAATGCACGTCGAATTGTAACCAAGGTTTAGTATCTACAGTTATATACGCCATTGTTTGTATTTGAATGAAGCGTTAAGATGTCTAAGGAGAAGTTTATGCTGAGAGAATCAAGATTTATTGTAAGTTCACAAATGAAGATGCTTCAAAACGTTCGAAAAGTCATAATATATCTTGGCATAAGAAAAGAACTGTGATCTGCAGCTATTAACATTATGTCTTGGACCGGAGATGGGCGTGCAACAATCCCAACTGGGTTATTCTAAAATCGTCTACGGAAACTCGCCACGAATTATGAGGTTTGATGAAATGTTCCGCGGCCGTGCGCTCGTTTGACAGGAAACAATATATTTTTATAACTATCTGAATATCGTAGAAATTGGAAGTATTTGGGTTATTGATAGAGCTGTCGATACACGACTGGTTGATAGAAATAAAAATAGTTTTAATCTTTTGATCTGAAAGATAAAAATTAATAGAGTTAATCTGATTGGGCGGGAAATGAAATATTTCTGGATTTATGAGAGTACCTAATAACATATTTTTTGTATCTCTTCTAAGTATAGCTTCTAAATCACACTAATTTCATAATTAATCATATTTATCATAATACGGGTTTGGGGAAAATAGGTACAGTACCCTACTAATGTTGCTACTTTATGAGGAAAACATCTAGGTATATTTGACCTCATTGATAAAAATCGACGACGTAAAGTTCTATATTTACCCTCCAGAAGCGTGCATAATATGAATAACCAAAACACAACGTGACAATAAGGAAAATACTTTCAGATAAAAATCAGTGTGTAGACATAACAGTATTGTTATGAGTACTTACATGCCAACTCGACGACGGCGGGCTGACTTCTGATATCACCTCTACTGCTCCAGGCATTACACGTGCAAGTGAATCTGTCTTCACCGAAATACTCGTCCAATTGATCCCTCGTCACGTTACACTCAGCTTCCACAATTCGCACTCCACTTTGAGGATCCACAAATTCAAATTGCGTACTAGCCACCGATCTCACGTCATTACATTGGAAATACACTTGAAGAGCATTCGCTGCCCGACACCTCAACACTGCAGGTTTGTTTCTCACCACAAAAGCGTGCTGTGGTTCTAAGAGAAACATTGGCAAGTCATCAGTCGAACTTTGCAACAGATGATCGCCAGATAACGAAGGTAGTTCATCAGCATCTTCTCTATTTTCTTGTTCGTCTTCTTTATGTGATTCGTGATCATAGTCTTCTTCTAAATAGTCTCTATGATGTGGAGCTGCATGGTTCTTCTCTGAATTATAAGGGTCTAAGGCTTCAGCACCGGCAGGGTGGGCGTATTCTGGTCTTAAGGGCATCGGTGGTGTGGGAGCTGCTGTGGTGCTTTCTGGTGTAGTTGTGTTTGACACCTCTGTAACAATACAAAAAATCAGTGTTAGTTCTTTATTATTTAAGATTCTGTTTCGACTTTAGGGAATATTAATATCATTGGAATAAAAAACGACACCTCAAAATATAGACTGGAACAATACGATAATTTGAAATGTTACATTAATAAATTGAATAAGACATCGTAATTTACGTCACGAATGCTTATAGAGTAATCGAATAATTAATCTATAAATCAATACGCGTGTTGTATTGGTACATAAACAAGTGTTTCGCCACCAAAAGTACAATCATAACGTAAGAACAAATTAAAATAAGCACACGAACCCAGCTTGCATTACTAAAACGTCGCAAACAATTTAAAGACCAATTAAAACTTCACAAAATACCAACGCTAATAAGACTAATAGCTTTCGCTTAAGTACGAACTTGTTCTAATTGCAGAGTTAAAATATATTCCGTGTCGCTCGGGATAAATAGCAACTGTCATAATAACATGTACCCTCCAAGTCATGCCATCGATTTCACTCCAAGTCCGCACCTGGTTTGAAGCGTCACTCGCGCCTATTTACACGCAAAACATAGATATTTGGATACCATTCTCCCCTCTTAATAAATTCAGCATCTTCCAACCGAAAACCAACTTTAAATCCACCCCGTTAATTTCAAAATTCAAGAACAACACCATGAATTCTTCCCTCTCCAGAATTTGGCCCAAAATCGCTATCAGCACATCAGTATATGTTACTCCTACGCTGTTGACAGTATTACTATTATTTGAACTAGGGAATTGTACGAAAATAAACCGCAACTCGAGCGAACCGTGGATAACTTAATTAGTTTCACTTCTGTTCAGCTTATTTCTATTTCCGTTTTCGTGGGGGCCGAACGATATTTCCTTCTGGAATCTATTTTTCCTTAATAGGATTTGTTTTGTGAAACATTTTCCGCTTTCTGGTTCGAAATTGTGTTAAAATGATTAAAATATCAATTTCGTTTCAAACTGCTCAAGTGTTACTTCTTTATCTGAAAATCGCTTAACTTTTGCTGCTCGTTTTGTAATTAAATAAGGTACTTATTATACATGAGTAAAATGAAGGTACGCGTAATGATAATGGTGTAGACGATAAATCACTTGTAAGTAGTTAAACAAAAATTATTAACCAAGTGAAACAAAACAAATACATCAGACCAGCTAGTAAAACGATCCTAAATTCAATCTCACGCTTGTCAGACACAAAAACAAAATGCTTAACATATTCTAATTATAATACAAATCCAAACGGGACATTAATTACCATTTCTCTAAAAAAAAAAAACACTCTCCATGTCACAGTGACGAAGGTGAAGTCAATTACATTATTCTATTTGCTTCGAGCATTTCTGACCATCCGATTGAGCAAGTCGCCTGTCAATTTTAATTGGTTTTTAGCACTTGGAATTTGATTAACGGCTTTATTAGTATCAAATGTTTCGTAATCTTCACCAAGATTCATTTCTTTATCAGAATTTTAATTAACGTTCGATTCGAGTGCAGTTCCTATCGTATTTCTATTGATATGCGAGTTTCCTATTGACTGGTTTATATCAATGCTTTTGTTATGTAGGTCGTCTTCAGGGCTGGTTGGTGAATTATTTCCAATTAGTTTTTTACTTTAGATTATCTTGAAAAAGTAAACAATTTGTAAAAGCCGTCTAAGTATTCTAGCACCCTCATTGTTATAATAGCACATTTTGTCAAAATAAAAACAATATTTACATTGTATTATTCATTTTATCAACTACCAAGTTTCTAACTTTAACGAGAAATAGTACCGTCATACAAGCAATACTTATCACGAGCAATATCAACACAGCAGAGGTTAATTGGTAATTTTAGATTGCAAGCAGCCCTGCCCATCACAACAGTAACTGAGAGAAGCATTCACGATTCTTGTACAAGTGTTATCTATAGTGACGAAACTCCATTTAAACGTTACAAGGAGCGTAACTAACTCGATCGTCGTCACGAACTTTGTAAATTATAAATAAATGTCCATCGTCTAAACTAAGATCAATGTGTTCGACTTTGATGTTATTTGTATTGTTGAGAACATGTGTTTGTGCTGCCCCAGCATGTTCATTACTATCGCTTTTTATGTTCATTGAAATAACTGGTTTTAGCACACGTCTTCTATTCTGAACAGTTACTGGTGACACGCTTTTGTCAACGTTGTACAGAATGTACTTGTCAAGCGCAATTACAAGGTATTGTATCGCTCATTTTTGTAAAAGTCTCAAAGGTACACAATAAAAATGTTCTGTACTATCTGCAAAAGAGGCTATTGAAAAGCTAAGATATAGTTTTGCTCCATCTTAATGAAACTTATCTGAAGAAAACTACACTTTATTCTTGAGCAATAAAACTAAAAACAATATAAAGACACCTTGACAGCAACTACAACGCTGTTCTTATATAATTGGACAAAGAAATGTGCCCAGAGCTCGGTATTGTCTACAGACGCTACTCATTATTTTAAACTTCTTGTTCTTGTCTTATAAAATTTATAATTTATCTAATATATTTTCTACATTTCCCGTTGTGTCACAATAAACAGATCACTTAAGAAATGCCTTACATAACTAATGGTATGTTTTCTTTGTTTTAAAATACCCCAAACGTTTGGAATCACAGAATTTTAAATGGGACGAAATGTCGTATGTTTAGTGACGTGAAACGCGTACGGGATTGACGAATGTTCGTTCTCGGGGACTAAGTTTATAAACGAAACGAAATATTGAGGTTCGTCTTCCTGTAAATGAGTTTATATTAACTGCAATATCGTGTATTAATTTTTGTTGTACTTATTGGTTCATGCATTTGATATTTTTGAATTTTACTGGGTTCATATCAATAATCAAATCACTTAAATACACCTACAGTGTGCAGGTCTTCTTCTGGATTACCGATTTTCTAAGGTTTTAATCAAGTGCTCAGGAATGATGTTGTAATGAATATCCCACTCTGTTAAAGTTTTTATAACTAAAACCGAATTCCCAACTGCTTCCTCAATAGTATCAAGTGTTAATGTTAACCAACCGAAAATCGAATTTGACCTAAATTAATGGTTCACACTTTACAGGTATTAAGTTTCAGTCCAAGTCAGTTAAAGCTAGTAGAAAATAATTAATGAAGGCATCGATTTTATTCACGATAGGAGTTTTATTGATGGCCCGTTCTTAATCAACGTCGTTGGCTCGTTCTACAGATGCGCTAACAATTGGTTTTATTGATGATGGCAGACAATTACTGCGACTTGATGCCTTTTAAAATTGAACAAATTACGGCTCAGAATCTTTTGAAATTAGTTGTGTTTCTTTATTTGTAGTATCGACATATTTTTAACATAACCACTTTAAATACAGAAAAAGATAAAACATTAAGTAGATCTGTGAAACTGTGATAAGAAACTGACATGTTTAATAAATTTTCTTTAATTTCTATATCGGGCAGATAACTTAATGACCGTTCCTCAATCAATACTTCCCAAATAGGAACCGAAGCCATTATCCACTTATATTGGACGTCATAAAACTAATACCATTCAAAACATGGCTGTTATCTTAATACCAAATCTAAAGCACTCAATTTATTTATAAACCTAAATATTCCCATTACATTTATTAAGGGATTCTATCACTGATACTTAACAGATGTAGCTGTTACATTAAGTGGGTATACGGTGCTCTTATAAAAGTTGGCCGTAATAGCCACAGTATCAGCTTGTGCCCTATTCAGTTGAGCGATAACAGAACCTTTATGCGCTATGGAGAGTACATCAAGGAATGCAGTCGTATTTACATACTGTGTTGCTAGGCGATCGGTAGCTAGAAGTTGAGCCTTTAGAATAGGATACTTGTATAAAGGCATTTGAGAAAGCAAGAGACGACAAATACTGTCTCCAGAATATTCTAGGTGTAGCACCAAAGTTAGTAACTAGAATACAACAGCTGCATCCTATATCCATCAGATGAAAGCTTAAACATTTTCCTGCACGTGCCTATATATCTGAAGCACTTAACGCTGACACCACTTAAGACTGTCCCTTTAAAGCGAAAGATATGTAAAGATACCAAAACAATCTTGAAGATAACACAAATGTTCATTTCGCGAGCATTAAGACAATACAATAAGCGGATGCATTACCAAACATCTGTAGCACACACTCGTCACTGGATGGGACGATGCTTGAAGCAGTTTACTAGCAAATGCACTTAGCGCCGGAGAAACGTAAAAAGACATACTCGATCTATTTAATGGCACTGTAGGCGGGGATACGCGAAGTTCGAAATAAACGAGCTATGACGGGCATTGTGATCCGAAGTCGTTTGATGACGAGTTCATTACAACGAGAGAAAGAATTTGTAAAGGTGCAGTAAAATAGCCAACCAATAATGCAGCACAAAATTCTTGCAATACATGGGTTTAACACTGTTTTGTAGTCAGCAATGTTACAACGGCATGCTGAGATTGAGATAAGATATTGCACACCATGGTATTTTAATTAAGTGAGTCACGATCTTGTATCGATTCGATTTCGCAAACAATGTGGGTTTTGTCAAACAACATCTCCTTGTAATCGACAACATATTTTATGTGTTTCCTATTCAATAGCTATGAGTTTACAGTAATAATAACTTACACTTCCACGTGTCTAAAATTTGTAAAAAGGGACCGGACGGTACACAAAAATATCGACAATACATTTCAAATTACCAAAACAACTGAACCGTTAACATACAATAAGTAACAAGGTGCAAAAAGTGCTCCAAAATTTCTTTGAATGTCGCCGAATTCTCACCCCGACTTGGACCACACCCACAAAAACTTCAATGGTAATACGATACATAGAGTGCCAGTCAAGAGTTTCCCAAACAAGATAATCCCTTTGTTAGTCGGGTTATAATGCTCCATGGCTTCTCCTGAGAGTCTTTCGCTATTATTTAGTGTTTCATTCACGCCAGCAGCTGCCGTCGAGTGGTCGTTTCCGATTTCAACTTTAATGGATGTATGGATTTTTTTCGCGGTAACGGGGAAATATTTGAGAGTTTGTAGATTCGAATCTTCAACGTTGTTGTCGCAAGGTAGTGCTATATTCACCGCGTTAATGTTATTTCGGTGTCCTGTTTCTTGCTGTTTTTTTTTGTTCAATCTTTTTGAGTTACGCGTGTTGTCCTTTTTATACGTTGTTATCTCTATTATGTTATCTTGAGATTTGTTTTGGATTTGCTTTGTGCTTAAAAATTCTTTTAATGACATACATTTTGAAGTAAGATGTTTATATTTCTTTGGCCGATTTTTTTAAACCCAATAACAACCTAACGTAACTTGCCTCGTTGCACGTTTACCATTTAAAAATCGTGACCAACTGGCACTTCAAACTATCTCTCATGAGTATTGATTCTCTTTCATTAACGAATTTTCACACGTGAGTACATTCGTGACCTGGTTTTTCATAGTAAGCTTTTGCTTGACGAGACAATGTTATATTTAGAAACAGTGTTATATAAGGCATTGATGGATGCCCGAGTGGACGGTACTGTGTGGAAGAATCTTAGTGAGCGGAGTTTCTTTAGAAAAATATTTGAAGTTTGGTTATTATAAGAGCGTGTGTGATCATCGATCACCGATATTACTACTTTACTTTGGGTCAGAATACTTTTTAAACCAGTTTCTTCTAGACATTTTTAAAGAAAATGTTGATTTTATATGAAAAGAGTTTCTATTTGTCTCTATCACGAAATATAATAAAAATAATATAACGCAATACTTACACGCGGAAATTTTTACCATCAATATTCATTTCCGAAAAGTTTCGTAACAATAACGGCAGAGTTTACGTAAACTTACTACCTGTTTATCCATTTCAATCTCGACAGATTAACAAAACGCCACGTCATTACGTTTGTAAAATCCATTACACCGTTCAAATAATGCAGTTTGATTAACTGTTCCGTGCGTCAATCATCGAAGACGCGCTATGACAACACATGGTGTCAATCCCAACATTTAACAACGAACCTTCAGATCTGACGCCCTCAATACAGATAATTTCTTGTTTGTTACTAACATTATCGACGTCACCATTTCTTTCACCTTTTAGCCTCTCAAGTACGGCTTTGTATCATCGTTTTTTACCATCAACGATCCGTTGGTGACAGTTACACTTTTTGCTTTCTTTATCAGACCCAAGATTAGGTGCAAACTCTAGAGTTTTTACATCATTTTTTGTTACCCCACTTAGATTTTTGAGGGCCACAGATAAAACGATGCTTCACGGGGAGAAATTTTGCCTCTCCATAAATCATGGCCGGTAATTAACCGTGAAGATATGGAGTTGGAACTTTTTAAATTAAGGGCTGTGACCTAAATTCTTGAAAGTCCGGATTAGAATTCATGAATATTTTGCGCAGAAGTTTTCAAAATACACGTTCGGCGCAGTAAAAGCTTTTTGCTAGTCTTTAAAATATTTTCTGGCAAAAGTTATTCAGAAACGTTATCCTAGGAGAGCTTGTGAGTAATTACGGTGCAGAACTGGTTCATAATAACGCATTCAGAAATGATCACGCATTTAAACCTGTACCGATTCAACGCTTGTAAATGGCTTATATAAATATCGTGATATTTGTTTTAATACTACCAATAACTTCGGAACCGGCCTCACGATTTCAGTCTTCGCCGAAGAACAAAAAGAACAAATGTGTATGGTACTTACCATGTTTGTCGGCGGCGACGGCCACCCATAGCACGAGGAGCACGACACCCCCCCGCGCCATGTTCACTTGCGCGCACGCATCACCTAAAACAATAACGTTGGAAAGTTAGACCAATATTTACTTAGACGACTTTGTATTGGTACTGGCTTTGTGTAGTGTGTGAACTATTTGACAATTAACGTTCCTTTAATAATATTCTGTTTGATTTTTTAACTTATGATTAGCTTTGTTTTTATTTAACAAGACATTTAGTATTAGATCTAGCAGTATCATCTATTAGGACAAAAAACGAAACAGGTTTACTGCGACGTATCATCAGACATACTTGATTTACAATTCGACATAACAAGATTAGTTCACGTCAAATATAATATGTAGAACCGTTTCCAATCAAAAATAATAGTTACAAATTTTTTGAACGAGATAAAAAAAAGGTATCTGACATATTTCATAATTTGAACTGATCATAAAAAGTTCGGGAAACCGATGGCTAATATTTCTGATCATATCCGAAAGTACAAGCCCACCGCGTCATTAGCCAGAACACTTTTGTATGGCACCGCACCGTGACTAATAGGACCCTTTAGGGCCATTTTTGGGGAAAAAATAAATGGCCCTATTATAGGCCGGTAAGTAGAGGCTTGTGGTAAAAAGCCGATTTGGTGTGACGAAACATATTTTATAGAAATTGAACATGTTGTGTGAATAATTTTGAAGAACCACTGCAAGAAGTATTGTTTACAAAAAGTTCTGGGTGTGATCAAAGAAACCGCGAAAGATTTATTTGAAGGAATAAAGTTGAAAATGTTTTGTGTTTTCTTTGATGCGTTTAAAGTTAAAGCCACCGTTTAGAGTGGATGAAGAAAATATGAAGTGTACGATATAAAAGGGGAATAATAGAGTGCATCAGCTGCTTATAATCCCACGCAACTTGTAAGAGATGACTGAGAGAAATGGGTTACTATGGCACTCCCATTAACAATGGTGTAGCCACCTGTCATTACTATACACACTTTATGATCAATAAACTAGCATGGTACTGTTACATTGGTACTTTCAAACGGTACATTCCACAAACAATATTTACATTTTCACTTGACTTTTATAAAGTGTCAACCGATCATATCAAAGTTGTTGTGGCACTTAATGACAAATTAAATGGTCTAAACGGCAATGATTAAGTGCCTGATAATTATGTAGATAATGAAACAGTAGCTACAAGGTTTAATAAAGTGTTTGATGAAAACAAAGATAGGGAATGAGATCAAACTGATTAAACAATGTTTTTGGACACTGAGTTTGAATAATGCAGCGAGTAAATGGACGAAGTTTTCGATGTGAATATGTTCAGGATTAGATAAAGTTTTGATCGAGTGAGATAGTGTTGTGAAAACATTTATTTTTCTTTGTTTTGTATAGTATTGGGGTATTAGGATTTATAGATTCATACACATAACGAAATCTCATCAATTTTAATAGATCAGGGGATTGCTTTATACTGTAAACTTTTTGCTTTTTGCATTTAGCTTTGACAAAACATTAATAAAATGAAATATAATTCTAATACATTTTTCTTTTGTCACCTTACACTACTCGACAATACCATTTAAATACAAAAGCTTAGTACGAAGAACTGAGCTACTAAGCGAAGCTAGGAATTCACAGAACTCCACAGTCAAGCTCAACTTACTCTTGAAATACTTTAACAACATTTCATTATTACAATGAAATCTAAAGCTAAAGCGTTTAAAACAAACGTTACCATTCAAATAACAACTTACTATGTAGAAAACAGTAATATAAAACCTTGTTTGTGTATAATACATACAACTGCATATCGAGCTATACAACCAATTTATCATGGTCTGGCTTTGTACAATCTTGCCACACGTTCAACGGTCAATGTATACTGGTTTATCATTGCTTGATGTGGAACTATGTGTACGTGTTAAGCAGTGTTGTTACTTCTAGTTGCTACAATGTTGTATTTATTACTGAATGTAGACTTTCAAATGAACTGTCAAATGTATTATTGTTATGTGTAGCTTAAATTATTGGTATTTATTTTATTATGTCATTCTTGACTTTGTTAGATTTATGCTCAGGGTGCGGTTCCTTATCGCCTACGTTCGGATTAGTTTGGTTTCGTTTAGTATTAATTTCCTTCCGTAGTTTGTGAATTGTAAATGCGATTGATATGGTTAATTTGATTAGTGTTTGGTGTGAAAGTATCTAAACGAGTAGAAATTCTGTTTATAATTTAGGCACATTATGCGACTGTACAATGTAACACCGACTTTTCACTATTTATGAGTCCTATGTAATAAGGGGTGGGTGCCTAAATACCGGGCACAATTCCAGACTCCGTGCTACTACTGAGATTTTTTTAAAAACCCCGTAATATTTTGCCTGACCCGGAAATCGAACCCGAGACCCCTTGCGCGGCAGTCACACTTGCAACCACACGGCCAACGAGGCAGTAAACCAAATCGTTTTAGGAAAAATCAAGCTAGCAAATAGTGAACCTTTCCCTTTGTATTTTAAGCTCAGAGAGATTTATACTGCGTTTCCCTCAACAAAGTCACAAACGTTTGCAACTTCAAATTACCAAACAATTTCAATAGTCAACCAAATGTACGGAACTAAGTACAATGTACAGTCTAAGTCACTTTTAATTAAAATTTAAAACAAAGCCAGGACGGTGTTGTAAAAAGAAACTTGAAGATTTTAAACAAAGACCCAAGACTTGTATTAAATCTTGGCAAAAAACTGCTATGCAGTTGATAAAGGAAAAGTTTTCTTTTGGCTTGGCTGTAGTCACTTTATATAGTTAAGTTAGTTTTAACTTAAAACCATTTTTCTTAGCATTATAATAAACGTAAAATTGTAGCTTCGAAAATGCTATGGCGAAGCAAATTGTTTCCTGGAATTATAAAAATAGACCTAAAGAAAATGTGTAGGAAAATCCCATTATTTAAAGGTTTCGGAGAATCATAACGTTTAACTTGACATTTTAAATGTTAAAAAACGTGTATGTATTAATAGCATAACACATTTGAGTAGTTATGTTATTTTTAGAATAATAGATAGAAACTAACCATGCTTCGGCAAGAACAGGCCGGCTCGACCGGAGAGATACCACGATCTTACAGAAAACCTACGTGAAATAACGCTTGCGTTGTGTTTCGCCGTGGGAGTGAGGTTACCGGCTTATCCCATAAAAAATAAAACAAAAACCAGCGTCCAGCTTAGAACCATCACGATTCTTACTTCATTAATTCAACTAAACAAAACCACATCAATTCCATTCATTCATGAAAAGACAGAGAAAGATAAACAGTCCTAAAATCTAAAATAACTCCCAAATATACTTCCTGATAATCGAAATCGATTGTCCGTATTCGTAAATATTACGTAACTGGTTCACTATAAACAATACAGTTTAAGATCAATCAGATCTCGTTAAACCAAGGTGAACAGTTGGCCTGAATTGTAAGGGCATTATCATTAGAGCCTTGCTTACACTGATGGTGAACGAATTATTAAACTTTGTGATAATTACTGTTTTGTAAGATGGAAATAATGATGCAGATAATATGTGTGTAACTGCTAAATATGAGGTGTTAGATTTACATTGGGATTTAAGACTATAAAGTGGAATAGTTTCCTAAATTTAATTTTAATGTCCGTCTGGTAGATTAATTTAAAATATTAGACACATATTTTTTCTTTTCCCACAAAATTAAATATTTTCGACGATATATTAATATGAAATATCGTGTGACGTCACAACGTGCCATATTTTGTAGCACGTTATGACGTAACGACCTCCCACTCCTAAACTTAGCGCCATTTTATCTAAGTATTGCAACAATAGAATATAATAACAGAAAATAAAAAATATTTTTTCATTATCTAACTAAACGGACTAATTAGATTTAATTTTGATACCCTGGAAACTACCAAATTGTAACACAATGACATTAAAAAAGTACATTTTTTTTACTGAACAGTGCATCAAATGACAGGCGGTATTTTATGTAAATTTTCTGTCGCTGTCAATTTGAGTCTACAGTACTGTTGGGTTTAGATTTTAAAATTATTATCACAATATTGAATTTTGGCATCGTAATGATGACACACAACAATAAGACTATAGGGAACCATACAAGGGATTAATAAAAATAAATGACGAAAGTTTATGTGCTATAAAACCCCTGTTTACTCCTTTGTGGGAAATCTGAAATTCGTGTATTCCACGTGAAATTAACACATAACATATCTGTATTTATTTATCATCACCTTTTTACCTATGGATTTACTTTAAAATATATTTTCTTAAGGATATTCTCCTTTATCGTCGATACGTTTAAAAACCACAAATAGTTCTACATAATATACAAATACATGCGCTCCATCTGAACTTGACACTGTATCGACAATTTTTTTCAGAATCAATGCAGGAAATGAATTTGCAATATTTCACTCAATAACCGATGGCTCAGTCACTACACCAACCATACAATTATAACCTGCGTTATAATATTTGGCTCATTAGCCGAGTGGTCGCAAGTGCGACTGCCAGGCAAGGGGTCTCGGGTTCGATTCCCGGGTCGGGCAAAGTATTACAGGGTTTAAAAAAAATCTCAGTAGTAGCAAGGAGTCTGAAATTGTGCCCGGTATATGGCAATAAGCTCACCCCCTATTACATGGGACTCATAATATAAATAGTGAAAAGTAGGTATTACATTGCACAGTGGCATTAAGTACCGCAATGTGCACCTCTGCCTACCCCTTCGAAGATAAATAGGCGTTATGTTATGTGTTGTAATATTTGTGCTAAAATAATATCAAAATTATAGTCAATGAAGTATTAATATTGCATTTCATTGAATGATAAATAGCAATACTCCAATTTATGATGTTTAAATTGAATGCTATTATGTAGCCATTAAATAATTGCTCAAACAGTTATTCAGAGTTGATCAATGAACATGGTAATTTAGATTGATCTGTCCCGTACATTGAAAGGTATCAATAGGCATTCAATCAATTATATC